GAAATTGCATCTACAGAACCATGACTAAAGTTTGTGACAATACATAGAACCATGATTGCCTGCCCTGTGTAATAAATACTGAATGTTAATACGGAGAGCCTATTAAGGCAAAAGCACTGGGTACATTCTTAGAGGAAACTGAATTATTGCCATCTGGAATTTTTTCTATGGTTTACACCCCGCATGTGTTAACCTGATGTATGACCCTAAGTTCTGAAGTTTGGTATGTTTGTCATATAAGCTAGTCAAGAAACAAGATTCTGGAAGTTTAAAAAAATTCATTTGTGCAAAACAGATTTTTGTTGTTGTCTTTCTTTTCTCTTTCTGATTAATACAAAAGGTATTTTTCAAGGAGGCCACAAACTTTCCATGGGCACATTCTGACATTCATGCTTCCAACAGTTGAGAGGACATGGAAGGATGCCGTTTTTCAGAGCTCTCACACTTTTTTCATAAAAACACATTTGACAAAACCTTTCAGTTATTTGTTATTTTTTCCCCAAAATGATGGAATTCTTTCCAATATTACCATCTGTTAGAGATCAACAATAACAAAAGCAGTGCTGTCAAATCACCATGGTTGTGATAGAGAACCATAATCCTTGTGCCCTCTCTTCTTTTATAATATAATATAAAAATAATATAAAAAATATAAAGAATAATATAAAATAAGCATTTTAGATATACAGTCCAACTGAGATATAATTTCACTAACATCCTCTTAGAAAGAAAAAATGATTGTGCCTCTATAGGCATAGGTTGTTTCATAGCAGGGGGAAAGTATCTGGATGCTTCCCAAAGTAGCTTTTCGATGAGATTTTTACAGTAGCAGCTATCATTTCCTTGCCAAAGTTGTCTGTGCCAGAAAATCGAATCTGCACGTAGTGGTCATATTTCTGGGTTTTTGTCCATGTTGCAAACTCTGGCAGCCCTAGGGCCTTCCTTGCATGGTTTTTCAGATCTTTCTGAGGTATTGAAGTAATAAGCTGGTCTAGCAGTCTGGAATGTGTGGTTTTAAGTGCATCATAGTTTATGGGCAGCCGTGCTTGGTTTATTCATTATGTGGATTTCTGTGCATTTTTACCAAAGAAGAAGAGGTAAAATCTGATTACACTAACAGAATGCACAAAAGTGTTATTTCTATATCACATGCATTTTAAAATCTTTTCATATACTGTGTTATTCTGCAGAACTTGTGTTTCCATTACAACTAATTTCACATTTTGTTTTTTTCCTACTTCTAGAACCGAAGTTGAGATGATTTGAACACCATTGCGCAGCAAGACAATAAAGTGAAGGTTATGAATGCTTTGAAGAAATTGCCTCAGCTACTATGTACTTTTTGCACTAGAAGACAATTGGATCGAATGTCTTCTCTTTTAAAAAATCTTTAGCACATATTTTTACTAAAAAAATAGTTTTTAAGGTTGTTTTATAAAAGTGGATCAATAATAAAATCTTCTGTCTTTTTGGTATAAGGCCTCTTTCAGAATAGCGAAAATGGTATAAGCAATTAAAATGTACATACATGGCAAATAGAGGGAGAAAACATGGAGGCCGTGACAGACTTTGTATCTCTAGGTGCGAAGATTGCTGCAAACGCAGAGTCTAACCAGGAAATCAGAAGACGGTTTCTTCTTGGGAGGAGAGCAATGACCAATCTTGATAAAACAGTGAAGAGTAGAAACATCACACTGACAAGGAAGATCTGCATAGTTAAAGCAATGGTATTCCCCAAGGTAACCTATGGATCTGCGAGCTGGACCATAAGGGAGGCTGAGCGAAGGAAAATAGACACTTTTGAACTGTGGTGTTGGAGGAAAATTCTGAGAGTGCTTTGGACTGCAAGAAGATCCAACCAGTCCATACTCCAGGAAATAATGCCCAACTGCTCACTGGAGGAAAGGATATTAGAGGCAAAGGTGAAGTACGTTGACCACATAATGAGAAGACAGGAAAGCTTGGAGAAGATCATGGATGCTGGGGGAAATGGAAAGAAAAAGGAAGAGGGGCTGACCAAGGGCAAGATGGATGGATGGTGTCCTTGAAGTGACTGGATTGACCTTGAAGGAGCTGGGGGTGGTGACAGCCAACAGGGAGCTCTGGCGTGGGCTGGTCCATGAGGTCAAGGAGAGTCGGAAGCAACTGAACGAATAAACAACAAATGTACATACAATGGAACCTTATTTCATATCAGTAGCCTGGATAATCATGGATATACGGGTTAGTAAAAAAGCCAAACTAAAGGTGCTTATGCTTATTGAATAACTTATGGAATCAAGCAACTATGAATTCTTTGCCAGTGCAGGAAAGGAAAAGATTAATTCCCTTAGCTTTGGAGGGCAGGTTTTACAAGATGATAGTTTGTACTGTGGTGCCAAATCTATTCCTGTAATTCAGTGATTGAAAGGGGTTTCCTCCTCTCACAGTGGAATCTGAATTTTGAACTGGCCATGTTTTCTTGAGGTGAAAGAGATAAGACTCTGTTAGCAGGTCTTCTCCCTTCAGGATTTAAATACCCTAAAGGCACCAGATCCCATCTGATCTTGGAAACTAAGCAGAGTCAACTGGGATAGGGGACTACCAATGAAGGACTGGGGCTGTAGCATCTATCTCATAGGAAGGAAGGGGAAAAACCAATTCATGTATTCCTTGCCAAAGAAACCCCTATAAAATGCATGTGGTTTCCATAAATTGACAAACAACTTGAAGGCACATAATCACACACACACACACACCCTGTTGACAAAAATAAGGAAATTGTTGGGTATGTCTTATCAGTGTGTGTCCACCTTTTACTTGAAACTGTGGATTTAGCAGAGTTTACCCAGTGCTCAAATGTTGAGGGGTTTGTGTGTGTGTGTGTATCAGGAGCAACTTGAGAAACTGCAAGTTACTTCTGGTGTGAGAGAATTGGCCATCTGCAAGGACATTGCCCAGGGGACACCCGGATGTTTGATGTTTTACCATCCTTGTGGGAGGCTTATCTCATGTCCCTGCATAGGGAGCTGGAGCTGACAGAGGGAGCTCATCCGCGCTCTCCCCAGATTCGAACCTGTAATCTATGCCAATTTCCTTCCTCCTGGGGCCTAATCACACTAGGGAATTATGATGGAACCATTCCACTTAAACTTCAATGGTTCTATCCTATGGAATCTAGGGACTGGCAATTTAGGGAGGGCATTTACAATTCTCAAGCAGAGTCTTGTAAATGCCTCACCAAACTACAGTGCTTCACCGAATTACAAAGTCCAGGACTCCATTAGATCTTGCCAAGACTGTTAAAGTAGAATAATAGTAATGTAATCCAGGAGGCACAGGAGTGAAGAGGAATCACAAAGCTTGCCTATCTGTTCACTTTCTCTGTACAGCCAGCACATCACTAGATGCTGCTCTGGACTACTTCTTATTTGGTAGTGATACTTTCTATAATTTGGTGAGACTGTTGTTTCTTAACATGCAAACCTAAGAAATTCTATTTTGGCCCTGTTCAGCTATTCTTCTAAACTTGAAAGGGCAGAAACTGGGCACAAAGGCAGAATTATGAAAGCTGAGGCTGGCCCAAGTATTCATGTGCCTGCCAGGCCCTCAGCGCCGAGCCTCAGCAGGAACCTGTCCAGCTTTGTCAGGTGTTCTAATGGTATTCCAGAAAACACAAATCCAATGCATGTCCAGATCTCTCTGCTCAATTCAGGAAGGACTAAGAGTGAGCAGTTCCATACATCTGCATACATGTAGATTTCATAATTTCAGGTGAACTTCAGAATATGGCTTCCAGTTGCAGTCTGCAAAAGAATTTACCATGAAGTTCTACTGAACTAAGCAATAGTTACTCATAAGTTAACATGTACAGTAGGATGCTCTATTAATTTCTGTACTTTTTATTAGCATTTCAAAATTGTTTATCCCTTGCAGTCTTCACATCTTGCTAACCAGCAGTTATTACTTTAATGCCGAGTATCAATAAGACTGATAAAATAATCGTTTGTACAGTAGAGTCTCACTTATCCAACATAAATAGGACAGCAGAACGTTGGATAAGTGAAAATGTTGGATAATAAGGAGGGATTAAGGAAAAGCCTATTAAACATCAAATTACATTATGGTTTTACATATTAAGCACCAAAACAACATGTTTGAAATCCAAAACACCTGGAAGATCAGAGTTGGGAACACAATGATATAAACTTCTCTAGAATCTCATAATGAGCATGGAGAAATGGCAACACTGGAAAACCAAGGTCTGCTAAACATTGATATTGGTCAACTGTCTCCAGTTGTTGGGAGGGCTTGGCTTGTGCCTTCTAGCCTAGCAAAATGGGGCTGGACTGGATAGACTTTTAAGGGAGGGGGTCTCTTGTGTTTCTTGCACCAAGAGCAGAGAGGAGAGCCATCACGTTTCCTTTTTCCCTCCCATCCCTCTTTTTCTTTTGATTCACCCCCCTCCCCTCCATTCCCTTTGGAGATGCACTTTCCTCCTCCTTCTCCTCCCAGTTTTTGTGACAGGAAAGAAAGCCACCCGCTCTCATGAGCACATATCAAAGGATGCAATGTTTCCAATCAGCCACATGATGATATCAGATAATACAGAGTGTCAGAAGAGTGGAGCTAGGATAACCGGGGCTCTACTGTATTTAATAACATGTGACTCCTTGTGACGCAGAGGGTTAAACTACTGAGATCTGGAACTTGCTGACTGAAAGGTTGGTGGTTTGAATCCAGGGAGCGGGGTGAGCTCCCACTGTTAGCCCCAGCTTTTGCCAACCTAGCAGTTTAAAAACATGCAAATGTGAGTAGATTAATAGGTACCATCTTGGTGGGAAGGTAACAGCACTCCATGCAGTCATGCTGGCCACATGACCTTGGAGTTGTCTACGGATAACGCTGGCTCTTCGGCTTAGAAATGAAGATGAGCACCACCCCCCAGAGTTGGACACAACTAGACTTGATGTCAAGGTAAACTTCTACCTTTTATTTAATAACACAAATTATTCCAGGGCTTCAAGAAAACAACATTTATTTATAAAAAATACAACAAGATCAGTTTATGATGAGAAATGTGGCAATAAATACAATTCAAAGAAAAGGCAATTCTACATGGATACATTATGGCACAGAAAATAAAAGTCAATGCACCATCAAAACATGGAGACTTCTGTGGGCTCAGGAATTTATGAAAGCTCCCTTTTAAGTAAGACAGCTTTTTAAAAAATGGGTTTGGTCAATTTATATATTGGAATGAAACACACACGATCACAAATGCACATTTATTATGTCTACTTTGACATTAGAAGTTAGCAAGCAAGTACTTATGAAATAACCAACAAAAATTATCTTTATGCAATAAGCCACAAACTCAGTTTTGGTGGCACTGTCCATAATTATTACCAATATGAACAAAAAGTTTTTACAGTCTTCCATGGGATGGAGCTGTAAATAAAATAAGTTCTTAAGAAAAGAAAAAGTTTGGTATGGTATGTTAAAATGGCTACTTCAGAAGAGGATTGTAAAAAAATGCATAGTTTATTATTATCATTATTAAAAGACTTGGCTGCTTGAGAGAACTCCCCTTTCACAGTATTCCTTTTTACTTCATATGCAGTTATTGGTTATGCTGTACAGTGAAACCGTTACAGCACTAAAGGCAACTAGAGAAGGAAAAGAGCAGAGAAAGGAAAAAGGAATGTTATGTAAGGCAATATTTCCTTAGGTATATGAAGCATAATGTGTAGAGAAGATGGGTAACAATTCCACAAGGCTAGTTTCGTTTTTTACTGAATAAAATAATAAACTAATACTGAGCATTGGAGGAGGCAAATCTAATAATCAATGCCATGGTCACTGTACTGACCATGGTAATCTCTCTGGTAATCTCTCTGATAGTCATCTTGGTATTCGCTGTGGTACTCATCGGGATATTCTGCCTGATAATCACTATCACTGATTTCTGAGCCATTTGTTCCTGTTCCTTGGCTCCCATTATGAATGACTGGTTCTGTTGGTGCAGCACAATATTTCGGGTCATATACCTGCCGTCCAAGGCCATACACACTCATCCCCTTCTGGGAAGCTACTTTGTTGGTGCCCATTTGTAGAGAAATTGTAGTGTTGTCCATAGGTTGTAATGTAACTTTCTGGTCATAAATGTCTCGCCGTGTTCCTGGTGCAGGCATTCCCGCCTAAAAACAAAGATTTATTTTAAAATGGTATGACCAAAACAACAATTTTCAGGAGTGGGTAATAATTACGGACAAAGAATAGTAGTACCGTACGAACCCCCCCCCCCCCCCATATCCACAGGTGATACCTTCCTGAAATTTGAGTGGAGGTATGAAACTGGGGATAATTGTGAACTCTTATTATTTTGGGTTGTTGTAGGTTTTTCGGGTTGTATGACCATGTTCTAGAAGCATTCTCTCCTGACGTTTCGCCTGCATCTGTGGCAGGCATCCTCAGTTTTTCCAATTTTCGTGTGTCTTGGAACCGTTTCTCCCAGTAGATATGTTCAATGTATTGTCGAAGGCTTTCGTGGCCGGAATCATTGGGTTGCTGTAGGTTTTTTGGGCTGTATGGCCATGTTCTAGAAGCATTCTCTCCTGACGTTTCGCCTGCATCTGTGGCAGGCATCACAGTACATTGAACATCTCTACAGGGAGAAACTGTAGCCACCCCGAGTCCCCATCGGGGAGATGGTGGTGGGGTATAAATAAAGTTGATTATTATTATAAAGTTTATTATTGGCTCTGCAGATATGGGATTGTACTGTAGTAAAATACATGTGATTTAAAACTGGTGAGACTCTGCCGCTCAGCCTTGCTGCATTCAAGCGACTTGATAAGACATGCCCAGATTCCCATTGGACTCTGCATTATCGGTAAAGGTTAGTAAAAACTAAATAAAATGTATTTCATCATATAATAGTCACTTTTTTCTGCTTTTTTGCTGGAAAAAAGGGGTGTGCGACTTATGCTATAAAATAAAACAAAACTGGTGCCTTTTGTTTGTGGGATTCCAGGCATTTTTTTAAAACCTGTCCTACCCCTTGAAGTAAAGAGGAGAAGGGAGATTTCCATGTTTGCTTCAACTGTCTTTGAGGGGGAAAGGGAGTTTCTCAGTTTTGTAAACATCTGTGACGATTAAGTAAGGAATGGGGGGAAAAACATTTTGGTATCCTCAAAATGGTAGTGCAACTATTATGTGGTGTCGACTATTACGTGGTGAAATATGATGCCAAGTATCACTGCAGGAAGGTGCTTTACCCTCTTGTAAGCACTTGATGTTTCTGACAGGCCCTTTTCTCAAAAAAAGCTTGGTTAACACTTTCCAGGGGTGGTGCCTTTTCATCCGTATGTCTCCATGTGTTTGGATGTTCCAATACAAGGGAGCAAAGGCCCCTTTAAGTAGCAACATCAAACCAACATGGCTTCCTTTCTGGGGAGCAACTTGCCAGGAAATGAGCAATGGTTCTAATGAAAGAAGATCCCATTTCATTGTCTATAGTAGTGAAAGTTAACAAAGTAGATGTGCTCCTGGGTGTTATATCTTTAACACAAAAGTTAGTACCAGAGGCAGAAATAGCAAGACAGGAATAGGAATAGGTTCCTGTACCATAAAAAAGAAGTGGAGTTTAATTTGTTTCAGGAAACTTTGTACTCAGAACTAACAATATGCAGACATGAAATGAAACAGCCAAATTCGGTAAGCCTTACGGAAGTAAATGCAGATTAAGCTGAATAACTAGCCATAATGTATTAAAAAAAATCAATAGACCTATGAGTTGGACCACCATAATTGTAAATCATAAAAGTGGAGGGTGGTTAAAAAAAATCCCTGGATGGATTTAAGAGTAAGTATTCAGGTAGTCACTAGAAGGTTTGAAACATTGTTTTCCCCTTTTCTTGCTGTTTTACTATTCATCCAGGCTCAGTAAGTGACTTTGGAGGTTGCCGCTCTTTTCCTTCCCTGATAGAGGCTGACACACAGCTTCAGTAGGATCAGCTGGAGGAGTCTCCCACGTTTTCCCAGCTCAAGCTTTATTGCATTGCTTCCTACAAGAAAGCTAGCTTTTTCATTGGGTTCCAAGGTCAGAGAAGCAGATTGCAAAAAAGAACAGCCTGCCTCAGGGGAGCCTGCTTGCTCCTTCAATGTTTAACATTTACACAAATGACCAGCCACTGTCAGAAGGGACAGAGTTTCATCTATGCTTACGATCGTGACATCACCGCTCAAGCAGGGAGCTTTGAAATGGTTGGGCAGAAGCTCTCTTAAGCTCTAAGTGCTCTTACTGTTTATTATAGGGAAAACCTTCTGATTCCTAATCCAGCTAAAATGCAGATATGTACTTTTCATCTTAAGAACATACAAGCATCTCAAGCTCTGAGGATTAACTGAGAAGGAATCCCACGGTAGCATTGCAGGACACCTAAATATCTGGGAGTTACTCTGTACTGTTCACTGACTTACAAAAAGCTCTGCTTGATTATCAAGGAAAAAGTGGGTGCTATAAGTAGCATCATATGAAAGCTGACTAGCACAACCTTGGGATCACAACCAGACACAGTGAAGACATCTGCCCTTGCACTTTGCTACTCTGCTGAATACGCATGCTTGTTGTGGAATAATCTCTTCATGTTAAAACAGTGGATGTGGCTCATGCCGCATTATCACAGGATGTCAACACCCTACAGTGCTGGAGAAATTATACTGTTTAGCTGGTATTGCACCACCTGATATCCATTAGGAAGTAGCAGCCAGTAATGAAAGGACTGAGGCATTGACATCTCTAGTCCATCCTCTGTTTAGATATCAGCCAGCATGGCAACGTCTTAAATCAAGAAATAGCTTCCTAAAGATCTATAGAGATACTCGCAGGAACACCTCAGCAAGTGAGAATCCAAAAGTGGCAGGCTAAAACCAAGAACCTCAATCAATGACTGATACTGGATGAGAAACTCCCTCCTGGGCACACAGAAGGCTGGGCAACTTGGAAGACACTGAACAGAATGCACTCTGGTACCATGAGATACAGAGCCAATCTTAAGAAATGCGGCTATAAAGTGGAGTCCACAACATGCAAATGTGGAGAAGAGCAAACCATAGACCACCTACTACAATGCAGTCTAAGCCCCGCCACATGCACGATGAGGGACTTTCTTACAGCGACACCTGAACTACTTGAAGTGGCCAGCTTCTGGTCAAAGGAAATCTAGTGTAATGCCAAGTTTTAAACTTTGTGTTTTTTTATATACATTATAACTATATTTTCAATTCGCTTCTGACACAATAAACAAATACAAAAAAGCTAATGCCTTCAGCACCAAAAGATGCATTTCTTCTATCCACCAGCTTCCCAATGCTGATTTTGCTAAAAATTATAGCTAGGCAGAGAACAAGGAAAAAAGGATGACCGGGCAGGTATAAAAGACTGTAATAAGGAGCTTCTTTGTCAGAGGCTTTCTTAACTGAGACATGTCTGTATATACAAGAACTGGGAACACCTGTCCTGTTATGGTTCCTTTGGCCATTCTGAATTTTAAAAGTCAGGTAGCTGCCAGAAAGGCAGAAGTTTTCAGAGTATCCTGACCTCCAGGATCCAACCAAGAATGAAACTGATTGGCCTAACAGAGATTTGATCTGACCTCTTGCTGGTGAGCCAGTCTTTCAGTCTCCCTCATAATGTCTTTAATACTGAAACAAATCTGAATACAATGTAGGAGAGTAGAAATCTTGCTTACCTGGCTGGCCCCTTTATTGGTCCCCATTTGCAGACTAATTGTTGTCTGATCAAATGGCTTATCGGTTTGCATCTTTGGATCATAAAGATGCCTCCGAGTTCCATAGGCTGTCATGCCTGCCTGGCTGGCACATTTGTTGGTTCCCATCTACAGACAGAAAAGAAGAGGAAAATATCCCCAAAATGTTCACTTCACATTCATTACAGGATGGGATCTAAAAATGACTAGAACAGCTAGTCACTGTCCTAAATCCAATTGCTAATTGCAACTAGAAAAGACCAGTTAACTCTGTTGCTGAATTTTATATCAACTAACATCAATCTCACTGACCCTATGGGTAAACTTTATGTGGGCAGGAGTCCCCAGTGGGGCAATGGGTTAACCCTTTTGCCAGAAGGACTGAAGACCAACAGGTCAGAGGTTTGAATCCGAGGAGAGCATGGATGACCTCCCGCTCAGCTCCAGCGCCCCATGCGGGGACATGACAAAAGCCTCCCATAACGATGGTAAAACATCAAAAACATCCAGTTGTCCCCTGGGCAACGTCCTTGCAGACGGCCAATTCTCTCAGACCAGAAGTGACTTGAATTTTTTCAAGTCACTCCTGACACACACACATACACAAAAGCCTTTATATGGGACTAGAAGTTGGGTTTAGGCCAATAACTAGTTGTTGTATAACTAGTTATTGCTGATGTTAGATCTTCAAGTTCATGCCATTCTTGACTTGAAAATATGTCACTTTTTGTTCTTCAGTAAAGAATGTTAACAATCGTCCAAATATGCTGGAAAGCTCCCATTCCTAAGACGAATCTTGCAAATGTTTTTGAATTAGCACAAGTCGTTGTCTGATAGATCTTAAGCATTTCTCCAGAAAACTGTTTCAGTGAACTTTATTCCTTACCTGCAAGCCAATCACACTTTGCCCAGCCTTAAGTTTTCCAACATCAAAACTTCTTGCTTGTTTTTCTGCATATTTAACACCAATATCAATAGTAGTGTGAAAACCTTTGGTTTTTGCCTAGGGAGAATATAAAAATGGCATTCAGTATTTCTAGCACATATTTAAGAACATTGTGGCAGAAATATATCCACTTCTTCCTTAAGCTGTCTGGGTTATCCTTGATTTAATAACTTTGTGCCCAAACTGTTTTGTTTTTAAAATAGTGAATGAACCCTGGTTTCACAACTATGTATTTGGCAACAGAGGTGAAAGGTAGGTGATATCCCATAACTCTGGTACAGAATAGATTTATGTTTGAATGTCAACAACTCCACATTATGTCAGATTCAACCATATCTGTACACTTCATAGTGAAGGAGCCCCTTTTGGATGATATAAGGATTGTAAAGCCTTTCCTGTTCCTTAACCAAAGGCATATTGTAATATTGATAATGATTGATTGATCAGCCATGGATCCAATAAAATGATTGCTCTCATTATGCCCCACAGGGCAATATGGACTTACCAGACCTGCTAGTGCTACCAGCGATGTCTGAACTTGGGTCATATTTCCATTCTCAAAGAGATCATTTGCTTCAAAAATATCATGTGGTTTCATGCCATAGTTTTGAATGGCTTTGATAAAATTTCCAATGTTCTCCAGCTAAAAGTAAACAAATTTAAGTTATTACTTCTGCTTATTTACAATGAACTAAACATTTCATGGAAATATATGAAATAATTCTGAATGGATGTTTTGTTAGGCAAAGGGCAATCCTGGGACAGAACTGATTCAGATTGGAGAAGAGGGTGCTGCATGCTTATCCCTTTCTTTGCCCATTAATTCTCCATTTCTGGATCATGGTATGTGAAGGTGTTTCAACTTTCTGTTGGGCTTTTGTTTAAACATGATGCAAGTTCAAATGCTCATGTCTAAACATAATACATGAAACCCTCATCTAGGACAATAATATTTAGAACACTGAGACAGTGTTAAAACACTCCTGGTTTACTGGGTTGCTGTGGGTTTTCTGGGCTGTATGGCCATGTTCCAGAAGCATTCTCTTCTGACGTTTCACCCACATCTATGGCAGGCATCCTCAGAGGTTAAGGGGACTGTTGGAAACTAGGCAAATGAGGTTTATATATTTGCAGAATGTCCAGGGTGGGAGAAAGAACTCCTGTCTGTTTGAGGTAAGGTGTGAATGTTAGAATCAGCCACCTTGATTAGCACTGAATAGCCTTGCAGCTTCTGGAAAGAAAATTCTGCCCCTGACTAAAGCATTTCAACAATGATTTAAATCAAGTTTTTAAAATGTGAACCCCCCTCCCCAAAAAAAAAAGCTCTACTATGAACAACACTTTCCAAGTGAACTCCTGTTCCAGTTGTCTATTTTAGACATCGGAATGTGGGGTAGGAGGTGTGTATAATTTAATTCCTTCCTAAATTATATAACATGGGTATTGTTATTACTTTGGCAAAGCAAGAAGCCAATGGTAAAAACATTTACACAATGATATTTTGGGAGGTTATCTGTGGCCTCTTATTTGAAATGTTAAGACATATCAATCAGATTTCTTGGGCTCTGAAAAAAGTAATTGTGTATAGCTTTAGCAAGGCAAAGGGAATGAATGGCCAAAGAGATGGAGAAGTCTCTAACCCTGAGAAAATTTTAAACAAAATCACTCTCCAATTTTACAAGAACTCTTTGCTATTTTTACTCACAGAATGAAAGTCTCAACGTGTGGCATACATTCAACAGAGCTCTCATTTTCAGAAAAGAAAAATTCCAGTTGTTTAATCATTAATACATTAACTGTTGAATGTTTTGTCTGTCCTTAAACAAATCAGCAAAGACTAAGTTGTTGAAATTCTCCTAACTATTGCACTCACAGTCAGGATGTCCTTCCTAATGTTCAGGTGGAATCTGCTTTCCTGTAGTTTGAAGCCATTGTTTCGCGTCCTAGTCTCCAGGGCAGCAGAAAATAAGCTTGCTCCCTCTTCCCTATGACTTCCCCTCACATATTTATACATCATCATGTCTCCCCTCAGCCTTCTCTTCTGCAGGATAAACATGCTCAGCTCATACAAACAACTTCCAACAAAGTATTCGATTACCTGGTGCCAGTTAAGTTTGGACTGATTGATTTTCTTTACTGATCCTGGTTGAAGTTTGTTGATAAGCCTACAAAAGCAAGTGAACAAAGAAAATATTCTTTTTAAAAATTGTACATGGTCTTCACCAGTTAAGATACTCGCCTTTGTGCATTACAAATATTCAGATCAAAATGCCAATACATACAATCAATAGGGATGGCACTTTGAGTAACACATATTTTGATGCCTCAAATGATAGACTTGTTTCTAGGTATATTTGACCTGCCTATTCCAAAAATGGCGCCAGTTTTCCCCCATCAGTACTCGTTTTTTCAGGTGCAAAACATATGCCGCCTACCAGTTGCCATCTGCTCACCAACAGAAAACCATGACAATTATATCTAAGAAACTAGAGACATGGAACTTCATGCCAAGACACCAAGATTTTACTTTATTTGGTTGGGCTGAGCAATGAATACAACTATCAAGCTTATAGTAAGTAAGTATTACATTTGTATTATAAGATAATAGAATGTACCTTCTACTATGTGGGAAAAAAACTCATTGCATGTGGAAAACAAACCTACAAAAACATTTCCAACCTGCTTTACTTTGGACGAGCTATATTCCTTTATATATTTAATGGGAAAGCATGAAAAACATCACTTGTAGCATGAAGTGGCAAAGTCCTGGCAAAGCAAGGACAAATCGAGCATGTAAATACCCTTTGGACTGTAAATAATTTACAAATGATCACTATACCATATACTACAAGTCTTCAATATGCCCTATGACATATTGCCCTAGGTTTCTTATTGAACTCCTTTTTAAAAATCATGTCAGAAGTGACTTGAGAAACTACAAGTTGCTTCCGGTGTGAGAGAATTGGCCATCTGCCGAGGTGTTGCCCAGGGGATGCCCGGATGTGTTACCATCCTTTGGGAAGCTTCTTTCGTGTTCCTGCATGGGAAGCTGGGGCTGACAGACGGGAACTCACCCTTTCTCGCAGATTCGACCCGCCGACCTCCAGGTCAGCAGTTCAGCTGGCACAAGGGTTTAATCTATTGCGTAACCACAGCTCCATATATGACAATATATACTCCTTATATGACAATATGCCCTAGGGTTGCTTATTAAACTCCTGCAACAATTGTATAAGGGGGAAAGCTCCACTTGTCAGAGCTATCGCAGCAGAATCCTTTCTATTTTTAATTTTGATGATATGTCTCATGCCATTCCACAAATTCCTTCTGAAAGCTTCCCCAGCCTGAAAAGCAATTTGCCCTCCTGACCCTTGTCTTCCTTCATTGTACTGTTGCTTCAGGTCAAGTTGTATAAATAAGGTTGAAAAAAAATATGTGGACCCTGAAAATGTTTATAGCATCTGATCTAAAACTAAGAACATCTGTCTGATAGAAGCTAAAAATAAAAGACTTTGCTTACTCGCACAGTATGATGCCATCCTTTAAGCCCAACTGAAAGTTTGCTCCAATACTCATTCCAGTAACTTCTTCAATCCAGTTGCGGAGATCCTCTTCTACTTGTGGGTCATATTTCAATGCAATCTGCAAGAAGAAGAAGAAAAGAAAGATGAAATTCAACAGGCCCTTCTCCACTTAGAACATGGATTACAGCTGGTTTAACTCAGCAAGGATAGTTTATGAAAATGTCTTAGCATAGATCAAGTCTTATCTCGGTTATCAGTCTTACTAATTTACATAAAATTAAATCTCTAAACATTCTGGATGTTCATTGTATTGTCAAAGGCGTTCATGGCCAGAATCACTGGGTTGTTGTAGGTTTTTCGGGCTACAACAACCCACATTCTGGATGTTTTGTCAAAACACAGATGATTGTTTTCAGTTGTTCAAATAAGCGAAATGATTTCCCCCAGGCAGGAAGCAGCCAGGCTTCGAAGCTGCAAGGCCATTCAATGCTAATCAAGGAGGCCATTTGTAATATTCACACTTGCCTCAGACAGACAAGAGTTCTTTCTCCCACCCTGGACATTCCACAGATATATAAACCTCACTTGCCTAGTTTCCAACAAACCTCACAACCTCTGAGGATGCCTGCCATAGATGTGGGTGAAATGTCAGGAGAGAATGCTTCTGGAACATGGCCAAACAGCCCGGAAAACTCACAGCAACCCAGTGATTCTGGCCATGAAAGCCTTTGACAACACATTAAGCCAAATGACTTCTTCAAAAAGATTTCAACTCTGACAAGGGATTTGAACTTGCATGTTCTGCTTCTGGAAGGAGACACTGCAATTCTGCACAACTCTCTTATACATCTCCATAGTTTCACACTCTTTTTCCTTTATCCTAGCTCACTAATGATATGTTTAACTAAAAGAAAACAGTCTGAAAAAAGGCGGAACACCAGTGCCTTACTTAATCTAAGAACTCATACGTTAGGCGTGAAAAGGAAATGTTTGTATTTTATTTTATAAGTCATTATTTATTTATTTATTTATTTATTTATTTGCTTTACTTCTATACCGCCTTTCTCAGCCGAAATGGCGACTCAAGGCGGTTTACACAGTAAAGATTAACACAATAACATCAAAAGGCAATTAAAAACACAGTTATACAAAACATATCAAGTCAAAAACAATCATTATCATAGACGTGCACCTCAGCAAACAAATCAAAATCAGAATCCGTCATCATAATCCTTTATACCAATTCCTATGTTCAGTTGTACCATCTTACTGCATTTCATTGCACTATTTAGCCAAACGCTTGTTCGTAAAGCCAAGTCTTGACCTTCCTCCGGAATGCCAGCAGTGAAGGGGCCTGTCTGATGTCCACAGGTAGGGCGTTCCACAGCCGAGGGGCCACCACCGAGAAGGCCCTGTCTCTCGTCCCCGCCAACCGCGCCTGCGATGCAGGCGGGACCGAGAGCAGGGCCTCCCCAGACGATCTTAATGTCCTAGTCGGTTCATAGGAGGAGATGCGTTCGGAGAGGTAAGTAGGGCCAGAACTGTTTAGGGCTTTATAGGCTAAAGCCAGCACCTTGAATTGTGCCCGGTAGCAGATTGGCAGCCAGTGGAGCTGGCGCAGCAGAGGAGTGGTGTGCTCCCTGAGTGCCGCTCCTGTTAGCAATCTGGCTGCCGAACGTTGGACCATTTGAAGCTTCCGAGCAGTCTTCAAGGGCAACCCCACATAGAGAGCGTTGCAGTAGTCTAAGCGGGATGTAACCAGAGCGTGGACTACCGTGGCCAAGTCAGACTTCCCAAGGTACGGGCGCAGCTGGCGCACGAGTTTTAACTGTGCAAATGCTCCCCTGGTCACCGCCGAAACCTGGGGTTCCAGGCTCAGTGATGAGTCCAGGGTCACACCCAAGCTGCGAATTTTATAAGTAACCTGTTGACTTACAGTGATCTCATGAATTTCATAGGGTTTCCTTACACAAAGGATACTGGCTTTGCCAGTTTCTTCCTTTGAGATATAGACTAAACCCCTGGTATTTGCTGGTGGTCTCCTATTCAAGTATTAAGTAGGGTTGACCCTGCTAAGCTTCTGAGATCAGACAGGATCTAGTGACCACTCTTGTATTTGAATTATAGAAGCAGGTAATTTAAAACTGAAGAGATTGCCATCACTTCTGCAGAACTAAAGGTGCATCTACTGTTGCTGATGTGCATCTTGATTTTTTGCTCCAATGTCAACCCAGGCCAAAGATGTTACAGCTCCTTCCCATTCAAAACAGCCTCCCAATGTTGTTTAGAGTGACAATGTGCATTATTTATATCACTGGCCATGCTGGTCAGTACTACTGGGGAGTTGTGAACCCTTATCCGAAAGGAGAACTTTCAAATGCTAAGAATGTTCATGTTCAAATACAGTTAGAATAAAAATGTGCCTGGACTCTAAGGCCAAAATGTGAGCACTTTCCTGCACGACAGGGTGTTTGGACTGGGTGGCCCTTGTGATCTCTTCCAACTCTATGATTCTAGTGTGAACGTGGCTGGTTCCACCAGCTTTCTGAATATCTGCCAATGTTACTCTGAATATTCTGCAGAAAAGATCTGAATAGAAATGCCAATTTAGAAATGTGTACAAAATTAGATTACATTTTGGAAAAATTACTTTAAGAGGGGGGAAAATGCAAGAACAGCGATCTGAAGTCCAAGTCACCATTTTAAAGAATGATAAGCAGAGGAGATACAGAAGGATCCCACAGCTGTCCAGTTTCTATTATTTATATGAATGGTTCCCAAACTTTGACCTTCCAGATTATGTTGGCTTCAGTTCCCAGAATTACTTGGTTAAACTAGATGGGAGCTGAAGACTAACATGATTGGGGAAGGGCGGAGCGGGTTAAAGATTGAAGAATCGCAGTTTTATATGCTGTCTAATGTTGATAAAACTGAATTCTCTAGTAAAGCTGGTGGGAATGTAGCCAGCATTAACTACAATGGACTGAAAAGAGAGAGAGGAAAAGGGATGGAAGGGAGTGAGGGATGGATGGAGAAAACCACCTAATTTAACACACAAACAGAATGGATACTAGGTTTTTTTTTACTTTTCTCTTCAACAAACCGTTGGCTAAAAATCCTCAATTAGAAATCATTTTTTCAGCCATTACATTCTGTGGGAAACAATAATTCTGCCATTATGAACTACGAGGGCTATCCAGAAAGTAAGGTTACAAGGCATGTAGCTCTTGCGGGGAATTTTCGTGGGCAAAGTTGGTATCACTACCATGTAACGGAAAGCCAGTGAAAGTGAACCAATAGTGCCAGTCACCAGTAGCTCATCAACTGGTTTTGTGGTGAAAGTTAGAGATAACCATCCTCATTCTGTTTCCCTTCTGTCTTTCTCCCTCATGATAATGCGTGTCCGCATACTCATGCAACACAAGAGTTGTTGACTTCATTTGGTTGGGATGTTTTAAGCCACCTCTCTCACAGACCCGATATCGCACGCAGTGACTATCATCTGTTCACTAGGAGTAGTGGGTTAAACACTTGTGCCGGCAGGACTGAAGGCTGACAAGTCGGAGGTTCGAATCCAGGGAGAGTGAGGATGAGCTCCCTCTGTCAGCTCCAACTCCCCATGCGGGACCATGAGAGAAACCTCCAACAAGGACAGTGAAACATCAAACATCCGGGCGTCCCCTCAGTAACGTCCTTGCAGACAGCCAGTTCTCTTACACCAGAAGCGACTTCCAGTTTCTCAAGTCGCTCCTGACACACACACAAAACTCTTTTCACTAAACTGAAAGCATACCCAGGCAGAAAACACTTTTCCGATGATGACAAGGAGGGGGACTTCTATGACACAGGCATAAAAAAACTTGTCACACAGATGACAAAATGTATTGAACTGAATGTTGATTATGTGGAAAAATAATGTAATACCTATGCTATAATCCATGTTAAGTTTTATTAAAATATATTCATTCTTTGTATTTTTAAAAAGTATTCTAATCTTACTTTCCAGATAACTCTCGTATTATACTAGACATCACTGACATGTATTCATATGTCTGAATGCAAAAAATAAATAAATTATATACTATGCCAGGATAACCTTGTATTATTGTTGCTCTGTGTCTTCGAGGAAACTGTGACATGATGACCATCATCAGGGGAATTTCTTGGGAACATTTGTTCAGGTTTTCCTTTGTGTTTCTCTGAGGTTGAGTGGATTTCTATGACTAAGTGCGGATTTGAACAGTAGGATCATAGTCCAATGCTCAAATCAGTATTACTTTACATACCTGAGGATTCCTTTTCACTGCAAGAACATTACCTTAATCTAGCTATTTATTAGAAGTCTCTTGAAGATTTTTCTACTCATTAATATACATACTATCAATATATGTGCTATAAGTCTGTGCTGTAAGTGCATTTGAGTTGTCAACACATGCCTGGCGTATAAGAAAAGTGCTCAACCTGGCAGAACAAAGTAGAAGAGCAAGTTTCTGAGACAAAATTTCAAACTAAAATAAGGTGAACCGTTCTTCTTATGAAACATAGTAACATAGTGCTACCTTAATGGAGAGATGCAACATCAAAGAAGAATGTGCTTACTATTATCAACTTTGAGACAATATTAGTGAAAACAAATAGCAATCTTGTTTCGGTATTCACTCAAAAATAGCAAAAATGAATATCAACATGTCTAATTGAGACAAATGCTCTGCGAACTGGGCAGGACACAATCATCCTTTTCTCATCCTTTCCACCAGTTTGCCAACAGAGTCATGGTCATACCTGCATGTGTTGGCTATTATTTTATATTTTCAGAAGTTATTGTAATTAGCCAACTGTTTTAATATAAAAACTTGTAAAGAAAACAGTGCTTTTTAATATACAAAATTTGAAACCCTATGTAAGGATTTTTAGCTGGAATGCTATAGGCTCAAAACGGCTCCCACGTGGGCCAGGAAAGGAAGTCAGACTCCTCAGGAGTTCCTCCCACAGTCAAGTAAAGCAAAATTGCAAAAATTAAAAAAAATTAAACTCCTCCTGCTTCCATTTCAATCATATTTCAGGATGTTTTAGATGCAGGGGGGAAATGGATCCCCATTTTCCCCCTGCACCAAGCTG